AAATTGCCATAGTAATTATTAGCGTCATAAATATTAATAATAATTATTAATAATTACATATGAGATACATTCATTCATAAAGGATGAATAATACAAATAGTTTACCTGTACAGACATTTCGATCCCTAATTCGGGTTCTTTTCAACACAGTAAGACAGGAAATGGATAGAAAATTTCGATTCCTCCAACACAGTTTGATAAAGATTTGATAAAATTTTATATCTTAGGCATTACGTAATATAATGTTCAGAATTAAATGTTGTAGAAAATTTTTTTTATATCATAATATTATCTATGTTGATGTGATAATCAAATACATAATATAATTTCCTTAAAAATTAAACGCAACGAAAATGAGAAAAGTTATAAGATAAATCAAAAGTCGAAATTAATATGCAGTCGTTAAGCATTTCAGTGTAAATTCATTAATATATAGTAATTTGCAACATATATCGATCAACTGTCTCTTGGACATGGACGCACGTAGTAATTCGTATTATTACTTTAATGCATGTCACCGTACTTTGGTCCGTATGACAAACTAGCTACTGCACGTCGTTAAAACGTCGGCAGGTGATTCACGCGAAATGCTAGCCGGCATGATAAGCGGCTCGATCATGTTCGATCATGCTCGCTTCATGCGGATAGTTTATGTATGATTCTATTACGTTGCGTGATTCTTCTTCGCTGTCAATTTCGAAGTATCATATTTCTTCGGGGGAGATCAGAATGAGTTTCCTCCATAAGAAATTTACTTATACATAATAATAAATAACTACAAAATAGAATATCAGATTAATGACGATTAGTTAGATGATCTTTGTGAACGATCTTTCTTATGTAAATTTGTCACTTCAAACTTAAAAATCATCCGCGATGCTGTGGGAACTGAATGCGAGAAAAGGACGTCCGATCGCTTGCCCGTCATCACCTTTAAGAAGCGAAGACTATTCGAGGTTTATTTCTCTTCCATGGAGGCTCCATTAGTGCTTTATTCATGCATTTTTTATCGGTGTTTGCCTTCCACTTGGCGCCCCCGCGAAGCGTGAAACGATTCTCCTAACTCCCGCTCCGTTGTATTCCAATTTGTAAGTCGACATCGCCGCGTCACACAAAAGGCAGCCTCGGCGCCGCGGACAGTGGTGCTTAACCGGACAAAACCTGAATTCTTAAAAGTTTATTCAGAAAAATATCCAAATATACTATATTTAGATATAGTATATCTAAATATAGTATATCTTTAGATAAAATCTTAAATTGTTGGCTAATGAGAGAAATCACATAAGAGTAGATAATAGATTTCCCAAATACATAGCGCCTTAAAGCGTTAAAAATGTGTATATAAGCGATTTTGAGCTTTGCAGCCGCTGCTATTTCCAGATCGAAGAAAATGCGACAAAGTCTTTCATGCATTGAAAGACATTTTATTCGCTTGAGCACATTAATATTCTTTAACACGTTGACTGTCATGCTGAATTTGCTGAATTCAAATGTTTTATAATACTAGACCACTTAAGCGGCGTCTACAATGATATTTTAAGGTGTAAATCTTAAGCTTTTAAGCCCTAAACCGTAAAAAATTGATAAATCACAATCGAATGTAAGGAAATCGATGATTGGCCAATTTCTTACGGCTTAAGGCTTAAAGCTTCAGTTTCACACCTTAAAATCCCATTATAGACGCTTTATACAACAATCGTGACATATTCTGCTATCAGTTTAAAACTCAAAAATATACCATTTTTACTTCTGTATATTTATTCTGTGAGCTCTTTCAAAGTACAAATGAATGTGAAAATTGCAATGAAATGCATGTCACTCATATACTTGATGTAGCGATTAATCTGTTAAAGATATTCTTGAAATATTTTTGCTGTGGAATTACTATTTAGTAATTTGTTATCTCTGATTCATATTAAAAGAATATAAAACAAAAAATATTTCTATGAAATGATGACAAGAAGCTCTTTTAAGTCGGAATAATTTTTTGGCTTATTATGAACACAATTTACTCATTAATTCTTGTATTCCATTGTACTATATTCTGTTGTGTATGAATAAAAAAAAAATGATAAAAGATATATACACATGGATATGAATCTAAAAGTTGATATTAATTATCTTTAAAAAAAATTCTTCTGTATTTGATTGAAAATAATTAAAACTATCGTCAGATCATAAAATTTCTCTTGAGATGGATTAACTAAGCAGACAATGTGTCGAATTTGTCAATAAGTCTGAATTCAATAAGTCTGAATCATCATGAAAATGATCGAAGATTTATTTAGGCAAATACATTTCACCTACTGTCATATCAATTAAAAGAAAAAAGCCCATTAAATTTGTTATTCGTTTTGTCGTAAATATTCATTCGTACCTTTTACTGGGTTGTCCTGTGTCCGTCTTTATAGGCACCACTGTGCGCAGCGTCGGACCGGTTGTTGCTCTGTGTAAACTAACAGTCGAGGTGGAAATAGAAAGAGTAGACTTTTCTGGCTTCACATATTTACCCGAATTTTGCAAAGGAGAACCGCCTTTACCGGCACGCCGCTAAAAGAACACAGAACCAGCGTCAAATCTATCACCGTCACAATATTTTCACTCGTTCAAACATTACCACAAGATAACTATTGCTGCCGCCATCACTTATCTTCTTTTTCTGTCAGGTACACGCTGTGCTTTTGAAACACATCACAGGTAACACACTTGTGGTGCTTATCCTGAAAAGTCGACTTTTTGTGCTAATAATCCTTGGCATAAAACGCTGACAATTGGCGTTTTCAAACAGTTAATAAGAATTGACCGAAAATCCGGTCCTTAGATACTTAAAAGTTCGAAAGTCATAAATAAAAAACTGTTAGATATAAGAAATGGATTCAATCGAATGATCTGTTTTTCTGCAAAGGTCCATAAATATTTATTTGGCATGTAACTTTCTTTTGTAAAAATATTTTTTCGCAAAAAAGATCAATAAATTTGTTAGGTGAGAAGTTGATGAATTTTAAACAATCCAAGTGAGAACGATACTCAAATCCAACTTACTCATCAACAATATTTATATCTAATAAGTTTTCGGACCTGTCCGGGCATTGATGTCTCTTAAGTCGAGACGCGATCCGTCAGATCTATATAGCTCGTTAACGTCACATATTTCCCATATATGCATTTCAAAATATGAAAATACGTTTTTCCGCAATGAATGACGTTCTTCCTGTTCTCAGAATGGCAGTCCGACGATGTCAGAAAAGATGGACATTTTTTACTTACTGGTAAATAATGACGATCGTACGTCAAAACGCTTGTAAAGCATAAATGAAATAAGATATTTGCTTTCGCAAAGAGAAGTTATTTGTTACGATGATTAATGGCCACGTATGAGCGGAGATTTTCTTGCTCCTTACATCTAACCCTAGTTAAATTAATTTTTAGCACTTATACAAGCAATGAAATGTGAGATTTATAGCGCGATATTTTAGCACGATAAATTTAAAATGATTTTAGCAGTGACAAGTTATCTGATTGTATCATGTATGATAGTATCATGCTCTAATTAATCTTTGTTGAAAATGTCAAACACGCCGCATTGCAAGAATCATAATCAAGTAATTAATAGAAAAGATAGCGATAAATTTGTCTTCTAATATTAAATATGGCCGCGATATTTTGAGCTTTCGTTTGTGAAAGTTGCAAATAACGTTATTGCGAGTTGAGAATCCGTATATTCCTGAATATAAAGTACACGAATCGATACTTAAAAAGATGATATATTTTGTTCATTCCAAATTATCTGAAATAATGGTAGCGTTCAGCAGAAAAAGGAGCTTTGCAACTGTCTTATAAGATATTTTAATATGATTAGTTTATACATTTGGATCCAATGAGGAATTGAAGGCAAGAAACAATCATATTAAAAAATCT